TGGAAATCCCAGGCTGGGGGATGACATCTCAGTTTTTCCTTTTAAATGAATTTGGATTTCTCAGATGCTGTTTTTGTTTTGAGGGAAAAAACATTTTAAAAGATTTTTATAAGGCTGCAGCATAATGAAATGTGACAAACCAAAGAGGTCTGAATATAACGTATATATTTACCACGACACTAGAGATGGAGAGGAAGACGGCAGGATGGCCAGCTGGTGTACAACATAAGACCTGAATGGTCCTCATAGCATTACCTTGGCAGCAGCAGCTGCCTCCAGCGTCTCCCCCAGCATCTGCACCTGTGTGCGAGCTTCGTCTCTCTCCTGGTAAGCCTGCTGAAGACGACCTCGGAGCCTGATCACCTCCTTTCTGGACGCCTGCTGCTCCTCCTCACTCTCCTGCTGCAGTGCTGCCAGCTGCTGCTTCAAATGGGCTGCACAGGAAAAACACACAACAGAAGAAAGGAGGAAGATTCTGCCCTCGGCTCACTGGACAAGGGTTGCAATCATGACTAGTGTTTGTGGACAAAGCTGCGCTCTGATGGCAGCCGGTCCGTATGCTGTACCGTCTGATGTTTGTCTACATCTCAGGTGGGTAAGAGGATGATCAGACATTACCTGTGTGAGACGGATCCAGCTCTCTTTCAGTCTCCAGGCGGAAGACGGTGAGTTTGAGGGTCTGCAGCAGACTTTCCATGCGAGACACTCGACTCACGAGAGAGTCGCACTTCTGCCAAAGCAAGCTCTCGTCATGACGGGCCCAACAGACCTTCAGGGGGCTGACTGGGTCCATCCTCCCAGGAGATCCCAAAACTTGGTCCCTGGATACCCCGAGTTCACTCACGTCTCGAATAAGAGCCTCAGTCTCCTCCTCGGCCATCAGCAGGCGCTGGTGCAGGAAGGTCAGAGGTTCTGGAGCCCCAGTGCCGAGGGGCGGGACAGCCGGGCAGGACATGAGGGAGTGAGTGACCGGGGTCCACTCCTAAACTGGATCACACATCAGGCTTCCTGGAGACAGAACAAGTTGTTCACAGACATTAGAACTATGAGGCTGGTTCAGCCCTTTGGACAGTAACACCAATCATCAGACTATCAGACCCAGTGGACGGTGCTGTCGCTCCAAATGCTCAGAAACGATCCGGTTGTGATGGAATATTCTCTTTTTTTCCCTGAAATGTCAACATAAGACTTCCGCACTCCGACCTGCCACCAACATGCTCACCTGTCGCCTCAGTCCAAACGCACGCGCAGAGCTCCACAGGCCGGAAGCTCACCGGGTCACGTCTCGGTTTCTAAAATGTCACACTGAGAAGAGTTCCGGGATCCGGTAACCGACTTCCAGATGAAGTTAGACACGAATTACTGCGAGCGACTCGTTTGTTTTTGCGGCCATATTTCAGCAGAAGGGCGCGCGACCAAATCAGAGCAGCAGCGTCCCACCGCTCGTGCACGAGACCGAACCAACCGGACATGCGCGAAACTAAAGTTAAAAACGAAACAGCTAAAAACTATCATAATACTGCAGGTCAGGAGGCACGATGGGAGGAAATGTGAGTTTTTATTTGGACTTACAGGGAAACTAAAGTGGTGAATAAATCCCGCTGTGGCCGCTTCCGGAGTCTGTTCCCATGGCGACGAATCGTCACAACGCCTCCTTCATCAGTAACTGTTTCTTTGCTGCGTTTAGGGACAGTGGGAAATATCAGGGTCATCACTGCAGCGCAACACGTAAGAACACGTTCTGCTGTTGCAGAGAAATAGACAGAAAACCGTTTTTCTTCTAACCGGACAGGAAGTGAAGGAAAGCAGGGAGGAGACAGAAGAGAGTAGAAATACATCTTTAATCCCCATGAAGACATCTGGTTCTTACAGCACAAAGAGTAAAGTCACCATCACCATGAATACTGACTCATCAGCTCTGATGAAGCCTCTTGGATGAAGGTGGAACGTCTTCAAGGAACTCAAGCAGGTCCAGCTGCTACCATTAAACTACCAGAAGAACCAGGACCTGGAGGACTGAGGACCTCCACAGACTGGATATAGTTCACGTGACCTTTGGCCAACAGCTGTGTGGATGTCTGGGCCTCTGTTGGACCCTGGATGGATTTCTCTTCCTTATCAATGTCCAGGCTTCTTCTCTCCTCTTGCCCCAGCTGAGGGGCATCATCCCTCCTACTGGCCCCGTACTCCACACAAACTCCCCCACACCTCTCAAACCTAGAAGGAGAGGTTTTAATGTCATCGTACAAGAAATACAACGAAATGTCGTTTGGCATCATCTTTGCAGCAGCAAACATGGTGACAAGAAAAAAGTTCAAAGGTGATATAAACAATAAAACAGCAGTAAAATATAAAATAAATACCTGTTAAAAGTGCAAAAGAGCATTTGCTCAAATGAGTCTGTAAACTGGGAGAGTCCCGGTTCCTGTGCTGAAAACTAAGAACTCACTCCGAGGACGACAGACCTGCTCTACACGCTCCACATACGCTGCTACTGAAGGAGCTTCAGAGGTTCCTCATCAGGTTGCTGAATTTGAATTTACTTTTCTGTTGTGATTTCTTTTTTAGTTTTGAATCAGAATTCCGTTGACTTGATTGGCCTTTGTGCACGACATGTACATTAGACTTGTTGTTTGGGCTGTAAAGCTGGATTACATCCTGAATGTGAAATGATGGAGATGGTTTCCTTGATCTTGTGTGGCTGTGTGATGACGGAGGTCAGCTGTCCAGGACATCCCTCTAAGTTTGTGTCTGAAAATACCTTTTAACCTGGCAGGTGGAGGACAGCCTGTGTTCTTCTGTCTGGCAGAACAGAATGAGACAAAACAACTCAGCCGTACATGTTCCAGGAAAGTTTCTTGTTTTTGGTATTTTTTTTACTTTTGAGACAATATTTTTTCATTCTTGTATCAGTGAGGGAAGACTGCACATTGAAACACATCTCTGTACAAATCAGCACGACCGAAAAAGTTGAATCAAACCTGTTTGTGTTTTTAAATCAGGTCCACAATAAAAAGCGCTCCTGAATCACAGGTCTCCTGCGCCCCCTTGTGGCAGCAGCGCGGAACAACAACATGTAATGAGGCGCATGATTTCACTTTCTGTTTCGCTGAACCGAATCGAAGAGTAAGCAGACGTTTCAGATTAATCTGCCCCTCTCAGTGGATAGTTGTTAAAGGATTTCAGGATGGAAGACAAGGATGACAAGGAGGCAACACGCACCTGCGGCCAGTGGTGAGACTGAACTTCAGGACAGGACGCACCAAAGTGCTTCAAAGTCCGGTCCTTTAACTTTGCTTTAATCACTGTTCAGAATGTAGGACGCAAAGCAACATGGCTGGTTTGGCTTCACAATTCGGCGCAGAAAAGAATGTAATAGAATGATTGTTTGTTGGTTGAAGAGAAGTTCTATCAGAAACAAGTGCAGCCACCAGGTGAAGATGACACCCAGTGAACATGTCAGAGGACATCTGTAGGAATGTGAATATCAGGCAGTATGAAAGTGTACAACGTTTAAATCGGTGTTTGCAGGAGAAAGTATTGAAGGTGAGTCAGAGGAGTTTAGTGTCCTGTCACTCCGGATTCAGCTCAGACTTTGTTGTGAACGGGGCACATTGATCCAGAGGCCTTCTCTGGAGTTTAGAGACAATCAGAGGAAAACAAGGAGCAGACTTTCACTTTCACTCTAAAGCTCCTGACAGGGACAGACAGACAGACAGACAGACAG